CCACTGCACTCCAGTCTGGGTGACAGAGTGAGACTCCAACTCAAAAAAAAAAGATTCTCAAATACTTACCATTGTGTTTCAGCTGCCTACAGTGTTCAGCACAGCCATGTGCCACACAGGCTTGTACCCGAGGGGCAGTAACTATAGTAGGCCAGACCACCTAGGTTTGTGTAAATACACTACCATGTCCCTGCTGTGATGAGATAACCTAACAATGCATTTCTCAGTATAGATTCCTGTCATTAAATGACACATGACTGTGTTTATTCGTTTATTATTTTTCTGTTTGTTTGGTCATAGCCAGCCTAGTGGGTGTAAAATGGTATCTCATTCTCATTCTGATTTGCATTTTCCCTAATTAAAGATATTTCATCCATTCACTTTCTTATTTTGAAAAAATCCTTTGACCCCTTCTTCCAACCCTGTCCCTCCCATCCCCCAGCATTGGTGCTGGAGTAGAAAAACAGATTCCTAGGACAAAGTGGAATTTAGTAAATGACGACTGTGACTCTTCAAGCCAGTGGGGGACAAGGGCGGGAGAGTGGCAGGGCTGGGGTTTGCATGTGCGTCTGACTGGTTGGCTGTGTACTCTGTGCTCCAGCCTGAGCTGCCTCCATGTGTCCTTCTCACAGTGTTGCTGAGGCCGCTGTGGCAGATTGCGGGAATGAGGGGGTGGCTGGGAGCAGGTATTTCAGCCGGGAGCAGCCAGGAGAGGCTCGCCCACTGATTTGAAATATCACCATTCATCCCAGCCTCAGCAGCATTCTGTTCCCTTATAATGGGATAATTATAAAGTCCATTTGTCGTATTAAATCTTTTATTCATTATTTGTAATTTTTCCCCCTGGAAAGAGAGTGGGAGAAATAAAGTTTGATGGCATTTGGACTTGGAGGGGGCTATGCCCTGCTTATGTGCCTCTCTAGTGCCTGACACGTGAATGCTGAATAAAAGTTTGTTGAAGGAACAAGTGATTGGATGAAGGAATGAATGAAGTGGGATCCTTTCCAATCTTTTAAATATTTCCGTACCTTAAAGGCTCTCCTGACTATGTTGAGTTTCTTTTGGATAATTATGGAGAACTCCTCTTCTTTGATGCCAGGGGTATCAGAAATCACATGGTGCGTAAAAGTGAGGGCATCCATCGAGATTCCTTGGGACCGTCCATAGTCTTGAAGCACAGCAGTAAGAAAAGCTTTGGAGGGAAATACACACCATCAAGTTCTTTGTGAGACTCAGGGCTTCCTGCCGGGGTTAGCAGCACCCATGTCTCATGGGGCAGGAAGAGAAGAACGGAGACAGAGGGAACCAGAGAGATAGCTGCGAATCTGGGCTGGGCAGGAGGAAGGGAACGGTTCACATGCTCACTCAGGCCTTGGCGACTCACCTGGCCAGCTGCAGGAGCGTCCTGGTGAACAAAGGCTGTTTTTCTAGTTCCAGCACCCCTCCCGTCTTCATTGTGGGGACAGAGGGACTGTAAATCCTGGGATTCTCTCCATTTCCGACCCAACCTTGGCTGATCATCATACCTCATCCTCTTGGCAACCAAGATGGGATCCAGAGGCAAGTACCAGACCAACTGTGTTAGAGTCTCAAGAAGTGACATTCGGACCTTGGGAAAAGGAAGGCTCTATTCCTTTTAGGGTTGCTGAGCAGCTTGTGGTGGTCGTCCCTCCCCCCCCGGTTGCATGGAGACAGGCTGTGTGTAGCAGGCAAACAGTGGGGACGTCTTAAACTCCCTCCCATGCCTGTCACTTTAATTCCTATTGTTAAAATCAGAATTCAAATCCGAGAGAGACCACAAAGAGCCAGCTCCAATGCAAACACATGAGGGTCTTTATTCAGGCTCAAGTCTGGGCTCACGTATGAAACCGGCAGTGGCTTCAGGGACGAGAGCCCTGATCCAGTATAGCAAGCAGTTTCTATGCACAATTACAGAGGGAGGGGAAAGAACTTTAAACTTGTTTTTACATGATTGGGTAATTTCTCCTAATGGGTACGGGGGCACCTGGGATTGGTTGGTCTGCTCAGCTACCTGTGATTGACGGGGAGCTGCTAAATGGGCAGGGTGGAATGTCAGATAAGCTAGGTTTAGCAAGCAGGCAGGCTAAGCAAAGGAATGTCCGGGAGGGGTTTATTACTTGACATTCACATACTGCTAGCAGCAGTTGCGGAAGCAATCAGTTATTTTATGAGACAAACAAAAATTAAACTTAACAAAATTCTAAGTACAAACACTGCAAACAAATACAGTGAACGTGGGGTAGGAATTCATATAGTAATAGTTCTCTTAGAGTTTTTTTGAATCTCTTGGGTCTCTCACTATCAGTTTGCTCCTCTCGTTGTGCTCCCCATTTCGGCAAATGCCGTTGGCAGCCACCAGCTTTCCAAGTCGGAGACCTGGAGGTCCTGCTTATCCTCTTCCTCCCCTTCCCCTACCCTTTCACACACGGAGTCCAGTTGGTTCTGCTTCCCGCTCCACTTCTGCCCCACTAGCGTTGCTCTGCTCCCCTTACCACCAGCTCTTGCCTGGAGCAGAAAGTAGACTCCTTAAATGACGGACCCAGTCTTGCCTCTCCCATGCCTCCTGCCTTTCCATACTGCTGCGATTGGATCATGGCCTAAAACACTTTGGTGGTTCTCGATGCCCCAGGATGGAGTCGCCTCCCTTAGTGGGTCTTATGTGGCCCCAGGGACTGACTGTGTGCGTCTTCCCTGCTACGCTATTCTCCCTCTGGTGGGTCTTTTGCTTGGGCCATATGGACGTTTGGTTTCCCCTCAAGTGCTTTACCCTCTCACTTCTGGAACTTTGAATGGCATTTTCTCTAATAAAAATATATTTCCTGGGCTGGGCACTGCGGCTCACTCCTGTAATACCAGCAGGATTGCTTGAGCCCAGAAGTTTGAGATCAGCCTAGACAACATAGCAAGACCACGTCTCTACTAAAAAAAAAAAAAAAAAAAAGCCAGGTGTGGTGGCATGGTGCCTGTAATCCCAGCTACTTGGAAGGCTGAGACAGAAGGATAGCCTGAGTCCAGGAGGTTGAAGCTGCGATTAGTCATGATCATGCCACTGCATTCTAGCCTGGGTGGCAGAGTGAGACCTCGGATCAAACAAACAACAAAAAACAAACAAAAAAGAATCCTATTCCCAGTTTAGTGCAGTGGTTTAAACACTCAACTTTTAAAGTCAGGCTGAGTTCAAATCTTGGCTCAGTCACTTATTAGATTTTTTTTTCCCCCTCAAAGTCGTACAACTTACCACTGGTATAACTTTGGATACATTTATTTTTTTTTCTTTTTGAGTTGGAGTCTCACTCTGTCGCCCAGGCTGGAGTGCAGTGGCCGCTCCCAGCCACTGCAGCCTCGACCTGCTGGGCTCCGGTGATCCTTCCGCCTCAGCCTTCTAAGGAACTGGAACTACAGGCGTGTGGTACCACGTCCGGCTAATTTTTGGTTTATTGTAGAGACGAGGTCTTGCCAAGTTGCCTGGGTGGGTCTCAAACCTACGGGCTCAGGCAATTCACTCACCTCGGCCTCCCAAAGTGCTGGGATGACAGACTGAGTCACTGAGCCTGGCCTAGGGCAAATTTCTTAACTTCTCTGTGCCAAGGTTTTCTGTCTGAAAACAGGGGTAATTATAGTAACGTCCTCACAAGATTGTCATGAGAATTAAAATGATTTAATTTATACAAAGTCCTCAGAACTGTGCCTAGCACACAATAAACACCATGTAGTGGTGTTAAATTTTTTCTTCAGCTGGGCTCGGTGGCTCAGCCTGTAATCCCGTGCCTTTGGGAGGCTGAGATGAGTGGATTGTTTGAGCCCGTGGGTTCAAGACCCGCTTGGGCAACTTGGCGAGACCTCATCTCTACAATAAATCAAAAATTAGCCGGGCGAGGTAGTGCGCGCCTGTAGTTCCAGCTACTCGGAAGACTGAGGCGGAAGGATCGCCAGACCCAGCAGGTTGAGGCTGCGGTGGCTGGGAGCGTGCCACTGCCCTCCAGCCTGGGCGACAGAGTGAGACTCCAACTCAAAAACAAAACAAAACAAAAAAATTTTATCTTCTTTCTCTGTCCTCACCTGGATAATACTGAACTGGTTGCAAGCTTTAAGTCTCACCCCAGAAGTTATTTCCTTAGTGGCCTTCCCTGGCCCTTAGTTAGGTTTCCTCTGTTTTAAGGTCCAAAAGTATTGATTCATTCATACATTCATTCAGGAAGTCATTCATTCTTCACATACTTATCGAGAGCTTTTTTTTGGGAGTACCTGAACTGTATGTATTAGGTGCTGGGGATACAACCGAAATGAGAACATCCTGGTTCCTGCCTTCTTGGAGCTCACGGCTAGTGTTGCCCCTTTACAAGTCCCTTACATCCCCAACCACACAGTGCTGTGACACACTCATGGTTAATGTCTGTCTTTCTGCTGGACATTTGTGCTGAGCAGGTGGGGTCCAGGTCCCAGCAAACATTCGGTCACCAATTCTTGTTCAAGGAATAAATGAATGAATGGTTGAGGCACAGAACTGATCCCTTGGCAAGGCGCCCATCTCCACCCCTTTGTAGTGGCCTTTGGGAGGGGTCTAGTGTCAGCCTTTGACATCATAGAATCAAGGGCCCAGAGGTGAGACAGTGACCTGCCAGGCACAGGTGGAGTCTGACAGGGGTGGATCTATTTTGGTATGAGATTGGGAAGGACGTGGGTGGGGGGAGGAGAGAGACTGCTCTGGAGATCTAGGCTCCTGGGGGGCGGGGGCATAGGCGCTGTTGCCCCAAAGGGGAGGGGGAAAGGGAGGGGGGAAGAGGTGGAGGGACTGAGGGCAAACTTGGCTGGTGTGGGGCCGATCTTTGTTCCAAGGCTTACCTTGTGGAAAGAAGAAAGCTGGGAGCCAGTATCTTGCAGGAAATCCTTCAAAGCGATTATCCTCTGAATTATCAGCATGTGTGGATCTTTGGCTAGATGGTGGAACAGGCCGCTTCCAAGTTGTGATCAATCGTATATACCTAGTGGCCGGCAGACGACAGATTGGGGTGGTTAATGGCATAATAATTAGGGTGACAGCACCTGTGCTCTCACGCCCCCCCAGGTTCCTAGGTCTCCAGATCAGTCTCTCTCCCCCCTCCCTACCCACTTCCTTTCCTCACTTGCCAAGATAGACACCTTCAGGTGTTGTGGGCAATTTCCTCCCATCCCTCCCAGGTTCCTCCTTGTTCTCTTCATCTCAGCTGCCTCCACTCAGGACTCTTGTCCTGTGCTTGAATGGAAACCAGCTGTGGTTTGAAGCGGGCGAGGGAAAAGGGGCGATCACAAAGGCTGGAAGGGAATGGATTTGGGTAACAGGAGATGTCACTATGATAGTGGGAATCCTGGCTGGGCTTGAGGAATCTTGTCACTTGTTTTTGAGTCACAGACTTCTCCCAGAAAAGTGGTCATATGTCTGCATTTGTTCTGTTGTTGACACTCACTTAGCATTAAATGGCATAAGAGGAAGCCTGGCACAGACTTTGGAACCAGATTTTCTGGGTTCATATCTTAATACTTCCATGTTCTAGTTGTGAACTCTTGGGCAAGTTACTTCACATCTTTATGACTCCATTTGCTTATCTCTAAAATGGGGATGATGATGATAGTTATCTACTTCACCTCACAGAGCTACTATGAGAATTAAGTGAGTCAATCTGAGTAAAGCTCTTAGAGAAATGTCTAACACACTGTGAGGCCCTTGTTAAATGTTAGCTACTCTCACTGCCTTTCAAACTATTTTTCTTATGACTAAAAACATGTTTAAAAATTGTATGTCCAGTCTGTAATCCCAGCACTTTGGGAGGCCAAGGCGAGTGGTTTGCCTGAGCCCGCGGGTTCGAGACCCACCCGGGCAACTTGGCGAGACCTCGTCTCTACAATAAATCAAAAATTAGTCAGGCGTGGTAGGACATGCCTGTAGTTCCGGCTACTTGGATGCTGAGGTGGAAGGATCGCCGGAGCCCAGCAGGCCAAGGCTGCGGTGGCCTGGAGCGGCCACGGCACTCCAGTCTGGGTGACAGAGTGAGACTCCAACTCAAAAAAATAAAAATTAAAAATTTAAAAAAATTAAAAAAAATTTTATGTCCTTAATTCTTATTTCCTTTCATATTCCCCCTACTGGTTCCTCGGGACACAATGTTGAATAACAGAAAGAGAGATGTACTAGGTTCTAGTTGTAACTGTCTCTTGGAGTGGAGTGACCTTGGATGAGACTCTCAACTTCCTCAGTCCAAACATAAGATAAGAATCCCTCTTTTAGCCGGGCTCGGTGGCTCAGCCTGTAATCCCTCGCCTTTGGGAGGATGAGGTGAGTGGATTGCCTGAGCCCACGGGTTCGAGACCCGCCTGGGCAGCAAGACCTCATCTCTGCAATAAATCAAAAAATCAGCTGGGCATTGTAGTGCGCGACTGTAATTCCGGCTACTTGGAAGGCTAAGGCGGAAGAATCACTGGAGCCCAGCAGGTCGAGGCTGCGGTGGCCGGGAGCGGCCACTGCACTCCAGTCGGGGTGACAGAGTGAGACTCCAACTCAAAAAAAAAAAAAAAGAATCCTTTTTTTGCTTAAATCACATGGTACTGTGAGAACTCAGGGAGATCAAGCATATGAAGTTATGTTGTGAACTGTTCACATCTAAGCAAAAATAAAGAAGAGACACCGCTTTCATCCATACCGACGATGTATTGCTGTGTAAGCCAGTTTGGCCCAAGTATTGAAGAAATTCACTCGCTGGATGAGATCATTAATCCAGGAACTCAATGGCTTACATGACATGTAGGCATGTTTCTGTTGAGATTTAAAGACAGTTAGTTACATCATGTTGTTGTTGTTGTTAGATTTGTCTTGGGGGTCATTAGGAACATTTCTGCAAACTTTGGTAATAGACTCAAATGCCAGGAAGAAATAACTTGGCAGGAGGATGTCATTTTTCAAGTGAAAGCACATAATGAAAAAAATCCAATTATTACCAGGGCAAAACAGCATTCTCTTAACAATGCTTTGGATAAAACCCTTGGAACCTCCATCCTGGCAGAAGGCTTTGATTCCTCTTCTCAAATCTTTTCATTCCCTCACCCCCTCACCTCCTCTCTGGGGAGATCACTTTCACATGCCATTAGGTACGAGCAATTTTGGCTTCCTGGCCTTCCCCTCCAGAGTCCTATAAATCCCCATCCACGGTCTACTCCTTTCCCCCTTTCCTTCCAGTTTGGAGTCAGGCCAACCCCTGCTCCTGTGCTCTGCACAGCCCTCCTGGATAATTCCTCCCTCTTCCATAGACTCGGCTTTCCATTTTCCATCCCTTTGCTTATGAACATGCTCCTCTGTCTTAAACCCACAAACCACCCAGCATTCACTTCCTTTACAGTCAGGCTTCCTGAAGGAGGAAGCTGTTGATTCCTGTCCCTCTTCTGGAATCTTCATTACAAATCATCAGTGATCTTCTACTTTCCATATTCATGACCCACCCCATCTGTATCCCCTGCAGCTTTTTTTTTTTTGAGTTGGAGTCTCACTCTGTCACCCAGATGAGTGCAGTGGCCGCTCCCGGCCACCGCAGTCTCGACCTGCTGGGCTCCAGCGATCCTTCCGCCTCAGCCTTCCACGTAGCTGGAACTACAGGCCTGCGCTACCACGCCCGGCTAATTTTTGATTTATTATAGAGATGAGGTCTCGCTGCCCAGGCGGGTCTCGAACCCACGGGCTCAGGCCATCCACTCACCTCGGCCTCCCAAAGGCACGGGATTACAGGCTGAGCCACCGAGCCCAGCTCCCCTGCAGTTTTTGACTAAGCTTATTACTTCCTCCTCCTCCTGTGCCTTCACTCCTGTGACTACACCCCAACCTAGCTTTCTCTTGAATTCTCTGGACACTTCTGTTTAGGTCTTATCCACTGTTTCCTCTTCTTCCCTCCCTAGAGGCTGGTGTTGCCCGGAATCCTACGTACTTCACGTTCTCTCTCCCAGATTTAATGCCTGGCTTTGTCTAGGCTGATGAAACCAAACTCTTGCTTTGTAACCCACGCTCCTGTCAAATTGCTTCTCAGTAGATCCATCCGGGAGCCCTCTAGCTCTTCACACTTTCCATGTCCAAAACGGTGTCATGGTCTTTTCCTTCAATAGCATCTCTTTCGTCCCACCTGTCTTGGACTGCTAGTACTCTAGCTAACTCTTCTACCTGACTAATCTCAACTCTGGTCATTCTGTCAAGTATGCAATGGTCTCAGCCATATGGAACTGTACTTAGAGTATCCAAACTGGACTGTGTTCTCTCAGCCTAACTTTGCATTCATGAGAGTCCTAGCTCTTTCACTGCTTGACTTTCTTCACAAGTAATGAAGCCTTTCTGGCCCTTAGTCTTTATATCTGGCAAATAATGTTACTGGAGTAGAGGATCCCTAAGATCCTTTCAAACTTTGAAGTTCTATAATTCTAGACGTGTCTCTGCATATTAATTTTTTTTCACTGTTTGTATTCAGTTTTAAAGAATTATGCCAGGTGCGGTGGCTCACACCTGTAATCCCAGCACTTTGGGAGGCGGAGGCAAGAGGATTGCCTGAGCCCAGGGGTTCGAGACCAGCCTGGGCAACTTGGTGAGACCTCATTTCTAAAAATGATTAGCCACAGGTGTGGTGGTGCATACCTGTAGTCCCAGCTACTTGGAGGCTGAGGCGGAAGGATCGCCTGAGCCCAGTCAGTCAAGGATGCAGTAGATGTGAGTGATTCACTGCACTCCTGCCTGGGTGACAGAGTGAGATTCTGACTCAAAAAAAATTTTTTTTAAAGAATTATAATTACCGACGTTTTATGTCACTTTTCATGTTTTCTACATAGGTTTTTAAAAATAGCTTTATTGAGATATAATTTACATGCCATACATTTTACTAATTTAAAGTGTCCAAGTCAATGGTTTTAAGTATATTCACTGAGTTGTACAATCATCACTAGTCAATTTTAGAATATTTTCATCACTCCAAAAAAAACTCCTCTTGTACCCTTTAGCGCTCACTTCCCAATGCCCTGTCACCCACAGGCCTAGGCAAACAATACTCTACTTTCTATCTCTTTGGATTTGTCTGTTCTGAAAATTTCACTTTGCGGTCTTTTGTGATGACCTTCTTTCACTTAGCATAGAAAAGCTACTGTTTTTAAGTTGTAGCATGTATCAGTACTTTGTTCATTTTGGTGGCTGAACAATATTTTATTGTAGGGAGACACCACATTTTTTGGTGTATTCATCAGTTGATGGACACTTAAGTTGATTCTACCTTTTGGCTATTATGAATCATGCTGCCACAAACATTCAAGTGCAAGTTTTTGTGTGGACACGTTTTAATTTTTCTTGGGCATATACCTAGGAGTGGAATTGCTGGGTCAAATGGTAACTGTTCAACTTTTTGAGGAATGGTTAGGCTATCACCATTTTACATAACTATGAGTGGTATATTAGGGTTCCGATTTCTACACATCCTCACCAGTGCTTGTTATTATCTGTCTTTTGATTCTAAACATCCTAGCAGGTATAAAGTTGTATCTCACTGTGGTCCTAATTTGCATTTATCTGATAAGAAATAATGTTGGATATCTTTTTATGTTTCTACGTAGGTTTCTAATCTTGTATAAGTTTCAGGGATTTGGACACTGTATTGAGATAATTTCATTTCTGGAGCAATAGTTTTTGTATCTAACATCATGCTTGTTAATTTCCTACTCTGTGTGCCAGATCTTCCACGGCTGATTTATTCTCCACCTAATAGGCTCTGTGTTTTTTGTTTGTTTGTTTTGTTTTTGAGTTGGAGTCTCACTCGGTCGCCCAGACTGGAGTGCAGTGGCCGCTCCCGGCCCCCGCAGCCTCGACCTGCTG